TTTAAGAGGGGCGCATGTATTTAGTAATAAGGTTTCATGACTGGAGGTAGTATTTGTGCAATTGAATTATGCATGTGTGGTACGGTTAGAGTGCATGACAGTACTTGTACTTGGTGCATTTTATTACACTGCACAGTAATTTAAGGAATATGTGGAATACTTAATGTGCATTTGATGAGTTTAGAAGGGTGAATGGTATGCAGTAATAAGGTTTGTTGACTAGAGGTAGTATTTGTGCAAGTGCATGTATTTAGATACCTATGTGCATTCCCTTGATCAGTTTGTGTGCAGAATCTTTTTGTTTGGGCGATGATTTAATGGGAATATGTTAGAGAGTAGATACGATGCATATAATCAATAGTGATTACATAATTGAATATGTGTGATGAAGGAATGAGAAAAATGAGGTGAGGAATGAAGTTGGTTGGTTTAGGATGATGTTTAATAGGGAGATTAATGAATACATCTAGTTTCTATGGTACACCTCATTTATGTGCATATGTGGTTTTAACCAACATGCAGTGGTTTGGGTAATTGAAGTTAACTCCATTTTGCAGGCAAGAATGCAAAAAGAACACAACATTCAACATCGAACGCCATTAATTCGAGCCTAGATGATGATTTTATAAGTCCGCTAGTACGAGCTACACGAGCAGAAAACACACAAACAAACGATGCTTCCGAATACGAATTCGCAACGTTTGAAACGATAAATTAACTTAAAGTTGTAATCTCTGTTTGAATATTAAATGAGTTTATTTATTTGTAAGTGTAATAACTGTGAAAATATAGGAAGTACGTTCCCACATGCAAAACAGAGGTTGTGCATCCGCGAGTTTAACCAAAGTGCAAAAATGCAAAAGCAATGAATGTATTAAGATTATTATTTTTCATATTACACGTGTGATGGATTGTGCATTAGAGAGGATTGCATATTGGAAGTACGAACTTAAGGGAATGTGTTAATTTTTAACAATATCGAACACTCGTTAATTAATATTAAAGTTTTGCTTCATGGTTTTTCACGGTTCAGTACTTGTGCATCGGTGAAGTAGTACAATGTGCAAGTATGGACAAGTTTCCAGGAGTGGTTTGTGCAACGTTGTGAATTATCATTGTGTCAGTGCGATATTAAGCGACGAAAAATATTAAAAAATAAAAATAAAAACACCGGAGAAGAACAGTGCACAATAAACATAGCGGGAACAACATCCATGACAGAGAAAGAGAAGAGAACAGTGCGACGATCGGAGAAGAAGTCACCGGTTAGCAAGCACGAAGCTATGGCGAACGGAACTCCAAGAAGAAGTCACCGGCGTGCATCGATTGAGGCAACAAGTAGACTTCGTAAGCATCAACGTTTAAGTTCTTTGTGATTATGAATTTATTCTGATAGAATGTGTGCAAAATTGTATTGCATGTTTGTGAAATTGAGTGCTAGAATATAGTGTGTTAGAGTGGAATTTAATTGGGTAGGGTTATCACTCCATATTAATTCACGTCACTTGATATTCCTATCCAGTTAAAATGCACACGAAACTGTCACTGCATTGCATAGACGAGCATAACTTGTTCCTCAAAACACGTTAAATTTAGGTGAACTACACACCCATCTTACGTATTTCTACCACCGATCACACACAACCCCATGACCAACTACAAAAATTGGTAACATGATAAATAAATAAAAAAAAGGAAAAAATAAATCATAACTGCAAACGAGCCGAATAAACTCAGCTAGACTCCATAAATGCACAAATACAGTCAACAACGGCGCACACAGCAACACAACAACCCAGTAAAACAAAAAACAAAAAAAAACAAACAAACAAACTATACAGTACCTAGACTTGCTAACACGCTAAAAAAAAAAAGAAGATGAAAACAAATGAAAATTGCATACGAGCCGGGAAAGCACAAATACAGTACACCACGATGGACACAATGACATACATGTTGACTTCATAGCAACAACCAATCTCCACAAAATACCGAAGAATGAAGGAAAGCTTGGGAAACTTCAGAAGAAAAATGACGCCAGACGAGAAAGACTGTGAAACGGAAATGATTAGAGGAATCCTACATTACCTTAATTATTCATCCTAAAAACATGCATAATAAAACTAATCTAATTAAAACTAGGAAAGATAAATAAACTCATTTACTAAAAAATCCCTACCATGCAAAAAGGAAAGAAAAAAAAAATAAAATCACATCCACACATCTAAACAAAATTCATGGCTAAGATTAATCCTCACGTCCTCACCTAAGGATGAGTACTCATTTGATCCTTAATCTATATATATATATATATATATATATATATATATATATATATATATATATATTTATTTATTTATTTATTTATTTATTTATTTACCAAGTATTTTATACAAATATAATAAATATTAATATTTTGTTCAATATTTTCACATGATAACCTATGACACACATCTCACAACATATGAAACATGTAGGGGAAATTAAACTACCACTATCAAATATCAACATGTGCTTGTAAGATAAATAGTTCATAGCACAACTAAAATCTCAGTCATATACACAACAAGGCAAATCTAAAGCTTCCTACACCATAATCTCATTACATGATGAATCCCTCTATGCTACCAACAATAACTTAATTGCACATGACATAATACCAATAAAAAAAATATAAAAAAAAATAAAAAAAAAATAAAAAAGAAGAAGAAGACGACATGTACTGAAGATGAAGACAATGACAATGCTAACCAAACGAGAATTAGAGAAATTTAAACCAAAAGTTGTATTTATTTAGACTATCGCTTTTAGACTAAGTATTTAGACTAGTGTTATTACAAAGTTGCAAATATTTATTTTGGAATAAGGTTCAAATTGGTCATTGAACGTAACATGAATATGCAATTAGGACACTGAACACTCCAACAACGTGCAATTAAGCCACTAAACACTCCAAATGTATGCAATTTCACCTGATAGCAGGTTACCATCAATTTTAGCAGGTTACCTGCTTACGTGACAGCTGAGTTGGCATTTTTAATAAATTTTAATAATAAATTTTCAGTGACTTAATTGCATTTTCAAGTTACGTTTAGTAGCTAATTTGAACCTTATCCCATTTATTGTTGTGACACTTATATATAATCAATCTCTCATATATTATCTTGCATTTATATACTTTAAATTACTGATTTAAATAAATAAATTCAATATTTATTTACCTATGCATGAACATCTTCTATATAATATTACATTGATATACTTTGAAATATTTATTTAAAAAGAATCATTGGGCATTATCTCATTCGCGCAAAGCGCGTAGAAAAATTAGTAGTACTATAAAGATAAATGTTGATAGTATTTGATATAACTTAGGTATTAACGTTGATAATTTTGTACAATTACGGAGTATTATATTAGACTTGGTTATATTCTATAACTGCATGTACGTCTTATTGCATTATAGTACTATAGAAATAAGTTCGTATAGGTTTAGCTCACTAGTTCAATATGTAGCATTTAGGAAAAAAAGATTAAAGTTTGAACCTCGACAGAAGTAGACAGATGCTACTTCATTAGGTCGGGGTCTAAAGATTAAACCTTTTAGGAGAAGAAGTAGACAAATGTTACATAATTGTACTTGGCAAAAAAACATACAAAAGAAGGGGAAAAAGAAAGAAAAAATCTCACCCGCCAGATCTTGATCTGGTTTCTTGTCTTGAGAGTTGAATGAATATAGTGATACTATGGAGACAAAACTGTATTTAGTTAGGTAACTTTCCAAATGTTAATATTTACGCACATACGACTATTGGACTTGATTACATTGAATGAATTTGAAGTTGGAAGGTATGTTTGATTGTAGTGCACTACTATATAGACAATTGTTGACAATATTTGGTACAATCCAGATATTAATTAAAGTTTGCAATCCCATACAACTATTAGACTTGGTTACATTGAGGGTCCGTTTGAAAATGAGGAAAATAACTTCTGAAAAATATTTTTAAAAAAATGAGCCAATTTTCAGAAAACATTTTCCTTTCTTGTGTTTGACTACACAATGGAAAACTATCTTTTGATGTTTGATTTATTTTCCAGAAAATAAACAGAATGGTATACTTAAACATTTTAATTGTTATATACCGAAAAATATATTTTTATTGTTTTTTGTAGAATATAACAATTTTTATTTCAAATTCCATGCTACATAAATTTTGGTTGTATTTAATTCTAATGTCTTTGCTCTCAATCTATCTTTCTAGTATTAAAACTATTGTCACAATATGACAATTTGAAACCACAATTACATGTTAGAAACAACATAAAGGAATCAACAAAATCAAGTCTTGAAAATTAAAGTCCACAAAGTCTTAGGATCCAATATAATCAAGTATTAAAGATCCAACATAACCTACCAACTACAAACCATACATACATAAAAATAAGTCTTAAAGATTACAATCCAAGTCTTAACATTCATGTTAACCAACAAAAAAGGCATACATAATTTAATCCGAAAAAGAAATAAATTTCTCAATCCATTTCCTCTTCAAACTTGCATTCTTCGCCTTGAAAATCCTCGTCTGAAACTCATTTGTCATCAAGTATTCAAATGCCTTACATAGGTCATCCTCATGAAAGCCACCACCTATGCTCATCACATCCGCAAACAACCGATTTCAGCAATGCCAGTATTCAAAGATTTAATTGCCGTGGTAATGCTACCAAGTTGAGGGGCAGATAGCCTGACCGTTAGCCTTGAGATACGCGGCGCTCGATCATTATTGACCGTATGGTACACTTACCGGGATATATCCCTATCAGTAGCATTTGGGAGAAAAGATTAAAGTTTGAACATCGACAGAAGTAGCTAGATGCTACTCCCCGTTAGGTCGGGATCTAAAGATTCAACCTTTTAGGAGAAGAATTAGATAAATGTTACATAATTGTACCGGGCAAAAAATCATACAAAAGAAGGGGAAAAAGAAAAGAAAAAAGAAAATCTCACCCGCCGGATCTTGATCTGGTTTCTTATCTTGAGAGTTGAATGAATATAGTGCGAGGGAAGCGAGAAGTGAATTCCGGCGGGTCGGATCGACAGCTCCGACTGAGCAACCGACCACCATGCACCCTCTTTCTAAGAAACTGAAACAACCGTCTTCATCTTCCTCCTTTTTCTCCCCTTCTTCCCTATTTCTCTATATAATCTGCTTCGCCGCTCTCTTTTTAAGCTTCTCTCTGTTCAAGACCGCTCCTTCCTCAGCTCAAAACAACCATAGTACAAACCGGGAAGCATTGTTCTCGCCGTCGTGCAATGTTTCCGATGGCCGGTGGATCTACGATCGGACAATCAAATCTCCTCGTTACGATAATACCTGCAAGGAGATATACAAGGGATGGAATTGCATTGGGGGCAAGAAAAATAATGCGCTCGATATCGTCAAGTGGCGCTGGAAACCCTACGGGTGCGATCTCCCTCAGTTCGATGCTCTGCGATTCCTCGATCGCTTCAGAAACACCAATATTGGTACTTTTTCTCATTTTCGTGCTTGTGTGTTTATGCTAATTTTGGTTTTAATTGCGGATTATTATACAATTATTGCTTTATTTTGATGTTCGTTTCTTAAATTAGTTCTATGATTTGATTACAAAGTGTAAGAGGAAAAAGGAAGCTTCTTTTTCTGTACTTGTTTATGCACAGTTTATGATTTTTGGGAACAATTAGGATTTTGTTATAGAAATTTCTTGATAGGAAGCACATTCAGTTTATTAGGAACATAAAAAGAGAAGCTTTTCTTCTTTTATTCTGAGGATTGGGAACTAGGAGAACTTTTATGAACAAGTAGACCAAGTTATTGATGTATTCTTAACAAAGTTTCCAACTTTGAGTTAATTGCAGGAAGGTTTGACTCTTAGTGCAACTGTGCAAGAAAGCAAGTTACTTTCTGTTTTGATTTCTGAATTGAGGCTCACTCATTTGAAGTGAAAATGTGAAATTGCATATGTAATTATTTGCGAAATAAAGTATACTTTTTATTTTATTATTCAAATCTAACATAAACTGAGTTTCTGGTACACGAATGTTTCTTTTTACTGAAAAAGATTACTCTGCTCTTGTGGCTGTATTATGCCAAATGTGGACCTTATGGATGCTTAACAGTGCAGGATTCGTTGGTGACTCCTTGAATAGGAACATGTTTGTCTCCTTGTTTTGTACTTTGAAAGGAGTGTCTGGTGAAGTGAAGAAGTGGCGTCCTGCTGGAGCTGATCGTGGCTTTACCTTCCTGAAATATAACCTTACCATTGCATATCACCGGACAAATCTTCTGGCTCGTTATGGTAGGTAAGCTAAAAGAACATTTTATTATAACAATTTTTTAAAGATGTGGTGTTTGCAATACTAATTTTTGTTGCCATTCAATGTAAATCTATGTACAAGTTTACCTTGCTATGATGTCCACCAATTTCATGTACTTTGTGGAATCTGATACTTTATAGTTCTGCAGCTGTATAAATTTAGTTTTTTGTATTATCGATTGAGACTGTTTTTCCTTTTCTCTTCATCCATTTTATGATGAACTTTTTTGGTACCATACATCTAAGGAGATCTATAAGAACTGCTAGATGTTAGACTGATACCAGAGGATGATGGCTTCAAAAGAACTTCATGACGTAATTGGTTGTTGTGAATGATTTTGTGTATAGTTTTGTTATTTAATGTAGCATGGTCTTTTTCTTCCAAACCTATAAGATATTCTTCCCATCTATCATTCTTTCCAAAAGGTTGAACCCCAACCCTAAGGGCCCCCCACACCCCGGCCCAACAGAGCATCTGGGAGGATGTAAATCATGGTAACTCAACTGAACATGAACCACAGAGGCTAGACATTTGCTCACTGCGCACAAGGAGCCCCCCTCACTTTGAGAGGTTGCTCCCACACTGCCGCTGGTGAGACTTGATCCCTGGTCATTCTTTCCAACTTTCACCTCTATGACCAGTTGAGCTGCCCATGCGGGCATTTTTCCCATCTATCATGTCTATAGAGATAGTATCATGTCTATTGACTTTGGCAAAAAAACTCAGTGGTACCTAACTGTTTATCATGTTAGTTGGATTTGGTATGCTAAACTCTGTTTGTGTTTGGGTAGGTGGACTGCCAATGTGAATGGTGGAGAGCTAGAATCTCTTGGATATAAGGAGGGTTACAGAGTTGACGTTGATGTACCAGATGGAACGTGGGCAAATGCTCCATTCTTCCATGATATTCTAATCTTTAACACGGGTCACTGGTAACTATTTTTGTGTATAAAATTGTGTCATCAATGTAGAATTCCTTGTTTGGATATGTAGATACAATGTGTGTTGTCCCTCCTGTATACACAAATTTTATTTGCTACTTATTTTCCTTATTATTGTTGTTTTAGGTGGTGGGCTCCTTCAAAATTTGACCCGGTAAAATCACCCATGCTTTTTTTCAAAAATGGCAATCCTGTGATCCCTCCTTTACCTCCTGATGCCGGCCTTGATTTGGTTCTTAAACATATGGTATTGCTCCATTTGTCTTTCTCAGATTTGATTATAATGGATAAAGAACGCACCTTTGAGTAATCTTGCAAGAATGATAGTATTGCTTCATTTTCAGACTACAATTCTTGCTAATGTCCTTCCTAGATATATCTGTTGGTTATGAATTTATAGCGATCCAAAGAGTTTAAACAAACTTTAAAATTGCTGTTTTCTCTTTATCTTATATGATTTATATTGCATTTGTACTTATGCTCCACAAAAAATTCACCGATTTTAGCATCACTCTTTGATAGATATCATATGTGGAGGAAAGAACTCGTCAGAATGCCATTTTATTATTTCGAACGCAGTCACCAAGACATTTCGAGGGTGGTGATTGGGACCAAGGTGGCTCCTGTAAACGCTCTCAGCCTCTGTCACCTCGAGAGGTAACTTCTATATATAATGTTAACGATTATCAGATCCCGATATTACATTTTCTCATGGAACTGCTCATTACTTTTCAGGTGGAGGAACTTTTCTCTATCGGAAACAACGGAACTAATGTGGAGACACGCCTCGTCAACCAACACCTTCACAAGGCCCTAAAAGGCACCAAATTTAGAGTAATGGACATTACTCGCATGAGCGAATTCAGAGCCGACGCCCATCCATCCACCGCAGGTGGGAAAAGGCACGACGATTGCATGCACTGGTGCTTACCGGGAATCACCGATACCTGGAATGACCTGTTCATAGCGTACTTGAACAGCCTAGTCACCTAGACTTCAGGAACCGACACATTCCAGTTCGATCCTTCTGTAGAATCGCCATCCACGGTACATTCTCTGCAAACTTCACATGTTGAGCATATATAATATATATAAACATAAATGTGTAATCCAACTATCAGCTTAGGATTTTAGTTGAGATGGAGCACATGTTTCAATTCACGTTATATCCAGTTATATCCAGTTCTAGGCATGCATCTTCTGCAACATTCACGTTGAAACCGTTATTCTTAAAGTCTAAAGTTGTTTCAGGCAGGCATGTGATGTGCTCTATCAAGAATTACTGCGGAAATTTTTCCGTTGACAGCGTTCAGTGACACTATTGCTTCACGTTCACAACAATCACCTTTTAGACTTTGTTCACTGAGAGTGAGGAAATTTGTAAAAGGTTAATTGCTTTCGATCAATTCAAAAGTATGCTAACATTGACCTTAGTATTTGTAAAGATAGAAAAATACTATTTGAATCGAATATTTATATTCTTATGTGACATGTGAATTATTGATCGTATCACAAGATAATTGAATAATGTCATGTTAGATATTAAAAAAAATAAAAATAAAAAAATCCTCCAACTATATGTCAAAATGTAATTAGACCTTGATATAAAAGAAAAGGCTTCAATTAAACCCTTAAATTGATTAAAATTTTGCAATTAACATATGTAACAAGTTATTTATATGTCAAAATGTAATTAGATTCTCGAACTAAAAAAAAATGTTTCAATTAAAACCTTAAATTGATTAAAATTGTGCAATTAATGTATTTAGCAGGTTACTAACAAGTAACCAGTTAATTTTGATTGCATGACATCCTATGTGGCATCCCAATACAAATAAACTAAAAATAAAAGATAAAATTTATTTTTGGGAAAATGGCACTTCTTCCCCCTAAGTTATATACTTATAGCACTTTCTCCCCTTGAATTATTCAAGTGGCTGTTTTTTCCCCTGAAATGTTAAATTGACATATTTACCCTTAAAATAAATATTTAAAATAAATATTTCATTTATTTTCCTTCTCCAACAAATTATGACAATAATTTGGTTCAAACCAAACAAACACTATAGCAACCAAATCGAAATATTCCAATTACAATTTAGAATCGAAACTCGATATTTAGAGTTTATTAAAATCGCGAACCGGAACGGACGATTCATGTACCGAACTGAAAAAATAAAATACATTTATTGTTGAATTTAGACTATTTAAAATAAAAAATAAAATTTTAAAATAAAGACGGTTCAAAATCGCGAACCGGATCCATAACCGCCGATTCACGGTTCAAGATCCATTTTTTTATTCATAATTTTAATAAATTGAAATCCAAATATTAGGTTCTAGATCTGAATCATAACCGGAAACTTTTAATTCAATTGCTATAGTGTCCGGTTCAGTTTGATCTGAACCGTGGTCATCCCTACGTATACGCGATAATTTGTTGGAGAAGTAAAATAAATAAAATGTTTACTTTAAGGGTATAAATGTCAATTTAATATATCAGGGGGAAAAACCACCACTTTTAGAATAATTGAGGGGGCTAATGTGCTTACCTAAATAATTGAGGGGGAAAAATGACTATAAGTATATAACTCAGGGGGAAAAAGTGCCATTTTCCCTTTATTTTTTTTTTTTTTTAAAAATAGAAAGTCATCCTATGTGGCATCCCAATACAAATAAACTAAAAATAAAAGATAAAATTTATTTTTTTTTAAAAAATAGAAAGTTGTTGGCTTCTCCGTAAGTTTAGACTGTAGAACGGAGAAGACGAGAAGTTATGACTACTCCGGTCAAATCGGACGGAAAAGACCGGTGGTTTCTCCATCTAGATCGGAAGGAGAAATCCGCAAGCTACTTCGTTCATGTCGAATTGGACGGCTATGTCATGTTCGACATGGACGAAGAAGCCAAGGCAGTTGCGGCAGTCAAATATAATTATTTTGATTTATTATTTATTAATTTTTTAAAATATTAATCTATGTGGCATCTTACGTGGCATTCATGTGACATGTGACTTGAAGGTAATATGTTATTATAGGTCAAATATGTGTAACATTTTCTTTGCGAATAAAATGCTACTCCCATGAATGGTCAACTTGTGAGCACCAAATATTAGACTTAGTATTCGTGTCTACAGAATTTATGGATTGATTAGTGCAGTTTAGGCTCGTGTTCTAGAACCTAGATTTTCGATTCTAGTGTTTTACTTGTGTGATACACCCAAAAAAAAAAAAAAAAAAAAAAAAAAAAAAAAAAAACATGAATTTGAATGACAAAATTGAAAAACAAAAGCAAAAGAGTTTTTTTTTTTTTTTTTTAAACACTAGTATTTTCATCCGTGCGATGCACGGAATGGATTTGTTATAATATATTAAAAATATTTGGATTGATATATAATTATTTAAATTAGAACATCAAATATTATATAGTGCAATTGAAGATATGATTTGGATTATTTATGTGTTTTGATGTTATCATTGTTTGAATTTGAGCAAATAATTGCTCAAATTAATAGCGAATGTGGAGATGTACGTATGCGTTGCTGTAACTTTGGAGATTTTATTTATCATTATTTAGTATTTTTTTTTATAAATTAGACAAATGTGTTCGTTCTCTAGCAACTCAGTTATAAGAATGAATTGCTATTTTAATTCATTTGTATGGAATATATATATATATATATTTTGTCTAGATATATAGCAATTTTGTCATTTAAAAAATATAATATCCCTGATTGTATTTACACATTATTGAAACCTCTTTGTAGACGACATTGGTAGTAACAACGCAATCCTGTCCATCATCGTATAGAGCTAATACCTTCAGTTCATCAGGATAGGTGACTCGGGTGAAAATATATAATGGTAGAGTATTAGTCAATTAGCGATCCTTTTATATTTTCAGTCAATTAGTAATATCAAATTCATTTCAGCAAATTATTCTTTTATATTTTTAGTCAAAAATTAGAATATCATATGCAGTGATAGTTTTACCTAATTTTTGTTCCATTTTTAATTGATGATGTATAATATTATTATTGAAATATTTCTGTTCCATTTTTAATTTATCTTTAATATTGTTTAAAATACGCATTTACTATTTATGATGTAGAATTATTATTGAAATGTTTCCATCAAATTTTAGTTTCCGTTTCATTTTTAATTAAAATGCAATGATCTAACCATTTATTTTTTTTTCATATTAATCAATTATGGATTATTTTTTATTTGTCAACTATTAGTATTCATTTCTTTTTATATTTTCAGTCAATTTGTAATGTCATATTCATTTTCAACCAATTATTCTTTCTTTTTTCAATCAATTAGTCAATTAGCCATTAGAAGATCAGATGGAGTGATATTTTTACTCAATTTTTGTTCCATTTTTAATTGATGATGTAGAATATTATTATTGAAATATTTCCGTTTCATTTTTAATTTTTGTTGCATTTTTAATTTACCTTTACTATTGTTTAAAGGAATAAGGTTCAAATTGTCCACTGAACGTAACCTGAAAATGCAATTAGGCCACTGAACGAAAAAAAAAAATGCAATTAGGCCACTGAACACTCCAAAAACGTGCAATTAGGCCACTGAACTCTCTAAACGTATGCAATTTCACCGGATAGCAGGTTACCATCAATTTTAGCAGGTTACCTGCTTACGTGGCAGCTGAGTTGGCATTTTTAATAATTTTTAAATAATTTTTAATAATTAATTTTAATAATAAATTTTATAAAAAAATTGAAAAAAATAAATAAAAAATAAAATAAAGTCGTTTTTATTTTTTTAAAAAAATTTTAAATAAAAATTTATTAAAAAATATTTAAAATTTATTAAAAATGACAACTCAGCTGCCACGTAAGCAAATAACTTGCTAAAATTGAGGGTAACCTGCTGTCAGGTGAAATTGCACATTTTTGGAGTATTCAGTGGCCTAATTGCACTTTTTTTTTTTTCGTTCAGTGGCCTAATTGCATTTTCAGGTTACGTTCAGTGGCCAATTTGAACCTTATTCCTTGTTTAAAATATGCCTTTACTATTGATTATGTAGAATATTATTATTTAAATATTTCATTTTCATTTTTAATTTACTTTTACTTGTAGAATATTATTATTAAAATATTTTATTTCCATTTCATTGTTTAAAATTGTGAAAGATTTATGACATAATTGTGATTTGATGTATTATACTGTATAATATTATTATAAAAAATAAAATGCAACAATATGATCATTTCTTTTTTCCATTTTAGTCAATTATGGATCATTTTTATTTGGGAAAATGGCACTTTTTTCCCTGTGTTATATGCTTATAGCACTTTTTTCCCCTGAGTTATTCATGCATTCACATTTGCCCCCTCAATTATTATAGAAGTGGCGATTTTTCCCCCTGATAATATTAAATGGACATTTCTACCCTTAAAACAAATATTTTTATTTATTTTTCTTCTTCACCAAATTATTGCTTATACGTAGGGATGACCACGGTTCGGTTCGAACTGAACCAAACACTATAGCAATCAAATTAAAAAATTTCGGTTATGATTCATAACATAACCCAATATTTGGGTTTCCGTTTATTAAAATCGTGAACTGGAAAAAAAATGAATCCTGAACCGTGAACCGGAGGTTCAAATCGGAACAACTACTAGCAATAGCTTAAATTAGAATTATAATATTTGTAAATAGTGTATGTTTTTTTTCCGCATTTATATTGACTCTCACATATAAGTATATATAATCGCGATTTGAGTTTTATTTTGAACCGTCGGTTCACGATTTTGGATCCAATTTGAACGGTTGGTTCAAACTTTCTTTTAAAATTTTATTTTTTTATTTTTAAAATAGTCTAAATTTAACACTTAATGTATTTTATTTTTTTCAAATCGTGGTTATAATTTGTTGGAGAAGAAAAATAAATGAAATATTTATTTTAAGGGTAAATATGTCCATTTAATATATCAGGGGAGAAAACTGCCACTTAAATAATTTATGGGGAAAAAGTGCTATAAGTATATAACAAAGGGGGAAAAAGTGTCATTTTCCCTTTTTATTTTCAGTCAATTATTAATATTCATTTCCTTTTTCAATTAACCTAACTTCAGTTCCTTTTTTTCATTTTAAATTTTCAGTGAATTATTAATATTCATTTATTTTTTCAATTTAACTAATTTCCATTCCATTTTTAATTGATGATGTAGAATATTATTGTGAAATATTTATGTTCCTTTTTTTCATTCTTTTTTTAATTTACCTTTAATACTTACTATTGTTTGTGCAGGAAATCAAGGTAAGTAAATTGAATTTTGTTTTTAATTATAGTATAAATAAATAAATAAATAAATAAATATATATATATATATATATATATATATATATATATATATATATATATATATATGAATTGGTTATATAGGGTATTATGTTAGTATATGAGAGCATTGAATATGGAAACAATATTACCAAGATTTTAGTTAATTTCTATTGTACATTTGCTTACAAA